GATTGATGAAAAATATTATTTACACATTTTTTTTTGGATTAAGTCGATTATTTACACATATCGGGAAGTTCATGTAACTTGCCTCAAGGCTAAATACCAAACCAACTAGTTTACTAAAAAAAATTGAAAACGAAAATTTTCTAGAAAACGTTACTGTTATAATATGCGAATTAAACCATTAAATAATTACTTACTTTGCTGATTAACCTGGTAGCACCATAACAAACGTTCCTTATCTGTTTCCATGCGGGCTGAATGTTTCCAGTAAAGACGGTTCTTGTAGGTTAATTGGATTACTCGAGAATTTTCAAATTTACCAGAGCCTTTTTCTCGAAGCGCTGTTTCCCATCTTGATATTACATCGCATAGCTAAAAGCCAAATATAAGGTTATATTATATACTCACTATACTCGGGGTAATAATATTTTTTATATTACGATTTTAATTTTAAAAGGATAAAATTAAGAAGAATCTCATCACGTATGTGGTAAAATATAATGATAGAATGATGTATATGGTATGCTTTTTATATGCATCTATACTGCAATAAATATTGCAAAAATATATGAGAAACAGGTCAGACGCAATAAGTTTATGTAAAACAAAACTTCGCTTTCAATACATCGTTCAGTAATTAAACATTCGCATTAAAACATTTGCCTTAATTCACAAGCACCTTTATAAAACTTTGTATTTATTATTCCATTTTTAATAGTTTAATATTAAATATTTTTTGTTTTGTTATATAACTCTGTGTTTGATTATTTAGTGTTCTCATTTTTGTGTTTAGATTTTGATTATTCGTATGCATTGATTAAGTCAAATCAAGGCACGAAACGTTCGCTATTATAATAATAAAAACATTCTTTATGCAATTTCTTGAAGTAAAACTCGTTTAGGCGCGACTAGGGTGTAAATCTGTACAAATGCAACGGAAGTACTGTTACGCCCGAACTGTTCGTCATTCGCTCTCGATGAAAACATTTCTATACGGGTCGATTGTGATTGGCCGCCGTGTATGTGAATAGATTTCTATCGTTGTATGCGTACCAGCATCAACGTTGTATGCATACCGATATCAACAAGAAAATCGGCATAGATAAATATTTTAAAGTTACATCGTAATACAAATGCATGAATCGGAAGAATATTTTACTCAGTTCCTTGAAAATAATAAAACCAATTAAATATGTTTTAGGCAAGAGAGATATTACAGCTGTTCAAAGAATGAGATTATATCGCCAGCGAAAAAGTAAAAAAATACAAGCAGTCAATGAATTAATGTTAATTTTAATTACATGAAGTTCTTCAAACACAATTACATGATGAGTGAAGTTGCGAAAACAATATTTGTTTTAGGCGTTGTTTAACATAATCCACTGTGTGAACGAATATTATAGAATTTATTAATCAGCAATTACTTCATTTCTCTAATGAAAGCTCATTTCGAAATGCTAATTACAATGGCAAACCGATCATGTCATATTTGAAGTATGACTTCAATTACATTATTGTTTTTAAATATTATACATATTTTTAATGCTATTACAAATATATAATTTATAATTTATCATTATATAAATGTGTATAATGGTTGACACTAATTAATGTGTGCATCAGGAGTGTTTCCATATTACTAATTAACATATTCAAAATTGTTATATGATGTATTTATTTTTACTTAAAAGCCATCTTGTACAGTAGCAAATGAGTTTTACTTCAATCGCGTGTGAATTACGTTTGTGACATAATATGAACAAATAAAGATACCCACCTTGGATGCTGGTTCAATAAAGTTTTCCAAATCCTTTTCAATTGGATCGTCACTAAATAATGTAAAACCATTAGCTGAGCTATCTCTGCAAGCTATCTCCTGGCTCAACGTCCTTAAAAATTCTTCGATAGTTGTAGAACCATCAAAACCGACGACTTGATAAGCACCATTGGCCATATGAACTGGTATAGAGTGAGGTAAAGAGTGGTGGTAAGGATTCTTCAAAAGTATACTCAAGACTTCCATTCGTGACGGTTTTAACTCCCTTCCACCATTTTGTATAGTTCTCTCCAAAGCCCTTTCACAATAGGCCGCGTATTTGCCACATTCTGTTTTTGTCTCGCAAGAGTTGCGTGATAAATGTAACTTAAGATACCATAACAAACGGCTATTTCGAGGTGTAAATAAGCTTACGGCCAAAGCTAGAAGTTGCCAACACTGGATGAAGCTGTAAGTCGGAGGATTGCTTTTACAACATGCCGGTGTTGATGGAATTGCTGGTGTCTAAAAAAAACCATAAAAATGTCATTCGAGTAAGAAACAACACATAATTTTATTATTATGCTTTTTATTATTATGTTGCTTAGAGAAAGCAACGATTACTTTAGAAAAAAAACACACAATGACACTCCATTTAAAACAGTTAAATATAGTAACCTATTTTAAGTACTAATATTTGCAATAAACAACAAATATCAAATCAATACACTAATATAATTGCTGAAAAGAACAAATTTTAAAATTATTAATAAATGATCCAAGTTCTACCTCACAGTTTTAAATGTATCATTATATGAAGTAAAAATAAATATAAATGCATTCTTGAAAACATAGGATGTGGGCGACAAATATAGTCTCCATTTTCGAAATAGTTCGATAACTTTATTTCACCTTTCTACCTCTTTATTTGCCTGAGATAAAGATGCGAAAGATAGTATGGTCCCATTTTTCAAGCTCACTTTTGGTCGTACTAGTTAGTCTTTTGAGGTAAAGATTAAATAAATAAAGAAAAATCTAACTTGATTGAGACAAAATGCGAAAGAGAGACAAAATAAGAAAAAAAAAGAGTGCGCGTAAGGATCACACGCGATTGAAGTAAAACTTTTAATATTGTATGAGTAGGCAATTAAGATAAAAATAAAAAAAACATCATATTTGAATTTTAAAAATCATTTATTAATAATCACATAACATCAATAACACAGTTTAAAACAACATCGATAGATTAATTGCTATCATATTTCATATATGATATAATAGGTTTGTGATAACTAAAATGAGAGACATAAATTTTGCTTTGTAAACTATGTACATTTCTGGAGAAAACTGCATCAATAGTCGTGCCATATCTTGTGGTTGATTCAAATGGAGAATTATTCATTGTTAAATTAAATTTATTATTTAAAAAATCAATTAATGGTTGAGATTCTTCTGAACGAAAATTGACATTGAAATCTCCAGCAAGAATTAATGGTATCTCGTTGTGATTAGTGTTTAAAAGTTTTGCACCCTCATAAGAAAAATGAAGTAACTGCTGATGAAGAAATTTAATAATATTTGATATGTTTTTATTGGGAGAAATGTAAAGGACGACTATAATTAATGTTTGATTCTGTGTGTGTAATATCACCTACTTGTGTAATTTCATTAGGAATATCCAGTAATATCGTTGGCGCAAGAAACTGCATAGGAGTCGCATTATGAAGAGTATCTGAACATGAATGATAGACAGCTACACCACCTGCTCTTGAGTCCGATCGTTTGTATTGAGTAACGCAGTAATAGTTCTGAATATCAATTCGTTCTTCATTATTAATCCAAGTTTCCGAAAATAACAAAAACGTACAACGTTGTAGCACTTTATCTTGCAGATCAGGCACATGAGCTCGTAAACTTTGGCAGTTAAAGGAAAACAATGAAATGTCGTTCAAACTTATTATCTCACTCAATTTTTCTTCTTGTGTTATTAATCTACAAGTTGAAAGTCTTTGGAATTCAGTTTTTAAGTTCATTAATCCTGCTGGCCGTTTTCTTCCATGATAAAATTTTTTGAAATGATGAACAATCCATTAATGCAACATATAGAAGCTGCTGATTATGTGTTTTATTGTATTCATATACAATTTTATCAAAAGTACCACCTTGTGATTTGTGTATTGTGAGTACACATGCAGACACTAAAGGAAAATGATTTCTTTTGACAAATATGATTTTATTTCTGTTCATTGGAATAGATGAAGATCTCCTGAGAATCGGCACAGCTGTCTTACTGATATTAAGAGTTTGAATATGATGTGCAGCTTTCTTCTTATTTTGTTACCTATCTTACCAGGAAATTCAAACCATAAACGTAGAAGTTCATCATTATCGCCACGTTCTATGTACACTAATTTTCCTACACAACCATTAGCTAAGCCATCACTTACATCAATATTAGTTGTTATTATGTAAAATTTATTCAGAACTAAAATTATTTCATACGGCAAACCCCCGGTATCAATAACCGATTTTTGTGAAACTGCTGACGAATGTATGATTGTTGATCTGTCGCATGGCAACCTACATAAATATCCGTGGCAGTAGATATTATTTTGTCTTCAACGAGATTCAGTATAAATTTATTATATTCCATGACACATTTATTCTCTAAGAAAAGTCTTATTCCATGAGGACATAACATAAAAAACGTGATTCAATTAATGCAAGTTCATATAGGGTTTAGCGCTCGACTTACGCATGACATGACGGGAGTGGATACCCGCGACATCAGCGCTTACCGCGTCGTAGTGTTCAACTTCACGTTGGCGTTTCGTTGCATTTGTACGGATTTACACCCGTGTAGCCTAAAGAAATTTTTACACCCATATCGCGCCTAAAGAAGTTTTACTTCAAAAAATCACAAGGATTTCTTTGATTTGTGTGTGTGGTGTATATATATATATATATGTAGTGGTATTCACCCATTTGTAATAATTATAAATAATATTATAAACTACTATATAAGGGTCAGAATACAAACAACACAGTTACTGTTACTCATAGCTACAATACATTGTATGCTCGCAGTAACCTTGCAAGCGTTGATAAAATTCCTTTTCAAACCACAAACGGCGCCTTAACAACTAAGTAAAGCGTAGTTTTGCACTATGCAGTAACATTGAACAAGGATTACAATGTCAAATTGAATCAAGCACATAAATACTAAGCAATGACGCATTTGTTGTTCAGCCGTCATCAAGTTTTCAATAAGTTCACATCAATTTAGTTCAGTCGTAATAAAGTTATCATAATGTTCAGTCAATATGAGTCATTAGTATTTAGTAATCAAGGGAGTTATATTTAAGTTCAGTTGTTCAAGTTATATGCAAAGTCTACAAGAATCATGAAATAAACAAAAACATCAAACGTCTTCAATCTGTTTCACTGATTCGCTTTCACAGTTGGTACCCGCTTGTTAGCAGTAGGAAGAACCTACATATTGTTGGCACCGTCGCTGGATGGGGCACAACAATATATTGTAATACATATGAAATCCTAAAAAATGCATATTGACCTTGACTAAACATCTTAAAATTATGAAAACATAATGATTACCTAAATTATTATTATGAAAACATAATGATTACCAAACCAAAATAATCACTTTCCGAGGTGGCTTAATATAGGCTAATCGGACTGATGTCAATTCTTTCAAAAATTATATAAAAATGGAAAACTATCAATAATCCCAGACTATTAGTTTCAAACAAATAAATAATGATTCAGCAAGATCAATGAATTATTATTGCGTTTGACAAAACCATATATATTATAAATTACACTGATGATAAGACAAATCTAGTCTCGAAACGCTGTTAAGATTTATTAATAAATACATAGTGCTTAAAGGGTGATCATATTTCTACTCACAATATATATATATATATATATATATATATATATATATATATATACATACATACATATAAGAATGCATCGGATGTATATATATATGTGTCAAATGTGTGATCATAGGATAGATTGTGTTGATAGTTTAGAATAAACATAAATGAAGAAAAACACAGATTAAAAATAAACTTTATAAATAATAAACTTTAATTAAACGCAATGTACTCTGTTATTGTCGAATAAATTATCGTCAAATAAAATAGCTCTATTTATCCGTCAAACACGTTTCATTGCCACTATAAGTTCACCGATCTGAAAAATATTGTTAATAATTATATTAATTAATTATGTTAATTCTATTTCAAATATAACGTAATTATGAACAATTTTTAACCACATTGATATGTTTTGGTTATATAGTTTGCTTGCTTAGTGAAACAATAATCTGGAGCTAAAAATAAAAAAAGTCGTGGCTAGAAAAAATGCCATATGATTGATTGATTTCAATAATTTCAGACAAATCGATAATTGTCAAAATTTCCTAATTTCATAAATTTAGTACTAAAATTATCACATCCAGTAATTATTAATCGACTTAAAAATGGAAAAATGTATATTTTTAATTATTGGATCGTGCAAATACATAGTTTTTAAATATATTCAATCTACATAAACGAATTTTCTTAGGCAACTGAAGTCGAATCATTAAGTAGTCATGTATAACAAAACAAAAGAAAAATCTTTTATCTTTTATCACCCACTATTATTAAAACGTTTGTACCGATTATTGACAGTATTGCTTCTGTGTAATAATGCTTTTGATAAAAGCTAGAATTTATAATAATAATGAAAGATTATTTTTCATAAAGAGTTGTTATTGCTTTTTGTTAACTCGATCGCTACGAATGTCGTCGATGGACGGCATTCACATGACGTGCTATGTGTACGCATGTCGTTCGTGGATGACATCCGTTTAACGTGCTGTTTGTACGGATGTCGTCCATGGACGACATAGCGTGTCGGGCTTCGCTTCAATTTTCGTCACTAGTTTAACGCTTTAAGATTCATCATGAGTTAAAGTATAGATAACTCCTTTTTTATTGTAATTTTTAGTTTATTGCTTTTCTGATAATTTTTAGGTTTTTTACTATTACATTTAACTATATATTATTGAATACATTTCAAATGTAGAAAAGACTAAGCAATGTTCCTAAAAGCAAGAAAAGCAATGTTCCTAAAGGCAAGAAAAGTACACCAATATGAATATGTTCGTATTTTTTCTGAATTATGCGACAGTGAGAAAGTTCTATTCAAAAGAAGACGAAAACAGGAATTATAAAAGACGATATTAAATGAATTAAAAACTTAATTTTTTATCCCCTGCATTGTGAGAATAAACGTCTTTACAAATTTCGTACAGAAATATTTGTTGCAAAAAAATGGAAACCAAAATAACAATTATTTCCACTTTTTTAAATAAATCTATCGAATCCTAGATCGGAATGAGCCATTTTATATTTTAAAATTCTTATGACTTATATCACATAAAACATGTATGTGCTTCAATAAAATATTGCTGAAGATATTAGTATGCCTATCACCTGTCTAGAATTGATGGGGCAAATTTAAATAATTTTAATAGACCTATAATTTTTTATTTTATCTAAGAAAATATTCTTAGCAAAAATATTATTTCAATTTCATTGAAAATGTATTAATCATGATGGTTGAAATGAGTTTCATAATTGGTTTATGAAAGGTAATCGAGAGATGGTGAAAAGATTCACAATTAATTTTTGATAAAAATTATTCTATTTTGTATCATTTACTTCAAGCACATAGCAAAATAACTAGAGCAAACGCATTGAAATAAAAAATAAACAATAACCAACATTTGCAAAAAAAATAACCACAAAATGCAAACAGAAAATTTTCATCAGAATATAAATGAAAATAAATTAAAGTGAGTGATTTTGATAGTGTATACTGGGTGGTTTTGAAATCACCCACCTGTATGGAGTTAGTAGGCGAACCATTATCGACGCTAGCGTGCGCATTCTGCACACCATGCGTATCACATGTAAACAGCGTTTGCGTGGCGCACAAGAGCAGTTGCTGCAAAAATGCAAAAACGCTCAATATGCAGCTAAAATTTGACTTTATACAGTACTATATATATTTCAAAATTATGATAGAAACATTCATGTTTATGATAATAAAATGATACAAAATAATACAGAAACAGGAGCTTTAGAGCTTTATTAAATTAGAATAAAATCAGTTTATATCACAAAGAAAAAACATTATAATTTTATTTAGGGGGAAGTCCCCGGAGTGGCAATCACCTAAGGTTATTTATAAATAAATCAAAAACTACTTTATAAAATGTTTATTAAATTATGACTTATGTTAGATAACGAAGTTAGAAATCAAACTGAATTAACAAAAACGCAACCTTTGCTAAAAAAATAATTAATACTACCAATCAAACTTTGGTAACAAAAAATATGATTTTAAAAAGTGGCACATAGCACCGGACATTTCAAATTAACCTGAATTAAACAAATATGTAGCTATCTCCACACTCTGAAATGTATTGCAAAAAAATCACTATTCATCCACTATTTCCTCCAAAATTTTCCTATCTAAAATTTCGTATTGGCTGGGCCACACCGGTGCTCTCAGCTAGAGCATTCATCACAAGCTTTTCATTCTTTGACTAAGAAAAATACGACAAATGGGGGTATGGAGTGACCGTTAGCACTCATACAGAACAAAATTAAATAATCAGAATAAATTACGTGGATTCTCACAAGAAATATCAAATTGTTTACAATCCCGCGCTAAGAAACGACTTAGTGTCCGGTGCTAAGCGACAGACATTTTCGTTCATTTTGTGGTACTTACTAAAGTTGTTTAAAATATCTAATAATATTTTACCATCTTACGGATAACAATCAAGTACTAATGTAAATACATAAATATACTAGAATTACTTCCATTGATATTTAGCTGACGCCGTGATTTTGCCCCTAAACCAGCAAATGGTTGCTCCCGCCGTGTGTGCGTCACAGGCGAAAATCGGCGTATGATCCTGTACCTGTGTGCCCCCTGCGCCCCTTTCATTTTTATTTTGAAATGAAGAGATTTATATTCGCTTAAATAAAACGTGTTAAATAGAGTGTCCGGCACTAGGTGCCGTCCGGCGTTACGGGACTACCCCAGTCATGCTATCGCAGAGTCATTTTAGACAGATTTGTTCATAAAGTGAATTTGTTTCCAATAAAAATGTGTATTTGATCACTAGTACTGATCTTATGCTTATGGTAGATTATGTTCCAAACTTAAATTCCAGTTTTGCAACTGGGGTCACTTGGAATCAACATATATTTTCTGTGCATTTATGATAAAAAGCTGATAAGCAAAAACTGATGTATTGCTGCCTTCAATGCAAAATTAAATATAATAATATTATATGCTCTGCCGTAAGAGAATAAATTATTATCCTAATTACTAATTATTAGCCAAATGCCGACCATCTAAAAGAAAGAAAGAAAAGAAGCAAGAACGGTTAAAAAATATGGGATTTGCCTATGCCAAAAACATAGGTAAATGTATGTTCATACATACAAATGAACATTTTTTTTACATTACAAATGAACTTTTTTTTTGCTACGGAAAACATTATTTGTGTGATAACAATAAATTTTTCATTAAAATAATATGCACTATGCTTACAAAATAAAGCAAATATATATATCATATATATATATATATATATATATATATATATATATATATAGAATATACGAAATTCTTCAGTAATAGCGTATGAAAGGTTAATCCTCCTAAACGATTATTCGGATTTTGATAATTGTCTCTGAAGTTTGTAAAGGGATCTTTTTAGGATTTTTTGATTCAAAGAAATATAGCTAGATTGTTAAATTACAAAAAACCGCTTATCATTGTTTGACGTTGAAAATATTTGAGACATTGTTTGACATTAAAAACAAATGAAGACTGTCATTTGCCAAACATTTCAATTCACTAATAGGCTAAGATAATATTAAAATATAATATATTTATGATCATAAATAAAAAAAATGTAATGTCCACAATATTATTGCCAAAAAGCATCTGAGATGTGCCAAAAATTAAAATATTATAAGATATATTCACCATGCGTCTGACAGTCTGCGCATGCGTCGAATGTTATTGAATATACCCTATAACTATATTTGACGGATTATAATTTTTTAACTAATGCCATCGTGTTTTACCTTACTCTACTAAACCACAAAAAATTTGCTTATTCAAAAAATTATTTAGAAGTTTCATTGTGTCAAAAATTCATATGGATACGGAATATTTGCTCAAGTCTGCGTTTTGGATCTGAATAATTTTACTGTGCTCCAATTTGCATGAAATTTTGGAATTAGGTTCATCTTACTTTCAAGTTCAAAAGTAAAAAAAAAATAGACTCTTTTACCACTTCCCGGGGTGATGACATCCCTTTTCAGTGGTGTGATTTTACTTTTTTCAAAATAGCGACGAATATCGATAAAAGAACTAATTATAAGAAAAAAATGTTTAATAATGTTTTTCAAAGAAGCAAATACTTTTTAAGTTACTGGCTACTGAAAATTCGTTTCTTTTTGGCGTTTTTCATCGTTTTTTGCTAATATCTTCAATAATATACTTTTTAACGAAAATCATGTAATGAACAAAATTATATCAATTAAAATCTTAACTAGTGGTGTGTATGACATCGTGCCTTAAGGCAAATCGCTGAAACTTCGCGTACCGTAACGAAATATTCGGGAAATATTAAATGCTTTCAAATAGATAAATAAATACTTTAACATTGTTTAATAAAGAATTATATAAACTGAATTTCTAAGTTGGAAATATTTGTTATTGGAACTTAAGTCAGAATTACAATTAATATCTGAATTATTTTCGATACACAAAAAAGAAATTGAAAAAAAAAATTTTGAAAAAAAAATTGAAACATTTTTTTTCTCAAAAGCAATTATTTTGTCAAAACATGCAGAAAGTTCTTTGAATCATTCATATCGGACGCTTAGTTCTCTCAAAAACTGCAATTTTTTGCACATTTAGCTTTGTATCTGCGAAACCGCTAGACCTGCCTTTGCCAAAATCACCACTAATCCCCGTCATTACGAATTGAATGTTCTTCGGATCATTCAAATCCGAATTTTCTGCATTCTTTGCTCCGTATCTTCGAAACGGCTGGACCTGCCTTTGCCAAAAACTAATCACCACATCTCCCTATCGATAGGAATCGAATGTTTTTTGAACCATTTAAATCGGTTGATCCGTGCGCCCAAAAACGTCGACGAAAAAATGCGGACATACCATCCATCCATTATTTCTGAGGTATGCCAAAATGTTCAGAAATTTTCAAAACGTTGAGAAATGCACGAATTTGCATTTTCGATTTTCGGCTCATTACTATAACTACCCTACGGGAAGTTAACAATGAATTTCATTGTTTCACTATCATTATAGTACTAGTGTTTGCGTTTAAAAAACTATCCAATGAGCATTATTTTTTTCTTCTACTTATTATTGTATTGCGAAAATAAGTTACACATGTTTTGTCAAGCAATTCCAATGCGCGACCAGTTGCGTCTTTTTCGGGGTGATTTTTAGCCCTTTTTGATTTGGCTAATTTGCAAAATTAATATAGATTTTTTTCGAAATTGGAAACTTTTTAAAATTTATTTTATACCTTTATGTACCCTTGTTAACTATCTACAACATCAACGACCATATATCCCACAAAATATAAATTTAATCATTTAAAATAGCTTACCCTGGCAGGTTTAGTAAGTGACGCGGTAGCTGAAGAACCAGTCGAATGTGTGGCGTTGTGCGACAAATGTCTGGACGTCTGCTTAACCAGAGCGCATATCAGCTCCGCTTGCAGTTCGGGCGCGTCAAGACACTGCTGCAAAGCATTTTGTGCAAGCACCACATGATAATCAATTCCTGCTTGTTCCATAGCAGCCGATGAAAATAGCTGGCAACACTAAATAAATTAATTTTGTTTTAATAGTTTGAAAGGAGATGTTAGAGAATTTAAAAAAATAGAATAAAACTCATAACATTGTTATCTTATACTTGTTTATCTATGACTCATAACGTCCTGCTAAATACATCTTTTGAAAATATTTTTTTCTCAAAAATGAACAATAGAGTTTTTCAGATAATAAAATAAACTAATTAAAAATAAAAATAATATAACAATTTAAGGAGGGTCCATTAATAACATAAAGATTTCAGGGAGATTGACAAAAAATCACGGGAAGGGTATAGTAAGATATCACATGTATTTATTTTTTACCTGAATTTCAAACTAGCTGTAAGTGGAATTCTGTCTTAAGGCAATTAAGGCATCGTGCCTTAAGGCAAATTGCTGGAACTTCCCGTACCAAAAATTATTATTTTTTTAAAAACGATTAACATTTTTGAAAAAAAATTACTTTGGAAAAATAAGATTTTTGAGAAACTATGAATTGGACAAAAAATAACTTTTTAATGAAAAAAAAATTTAAAAAAAAAAAAAAAATTTTTTTTTTTTGCAAAAAAAATTTTTTTTCTTTATTTTGACATATTGTGGAAGATCTGAACTTTTTTTTAAAGCAATCGTACTACTTTATCTGCATAGGGACAAAATATAAAGCGCGTAAGCGCCGCGTCGCTGTCTAACGCATAAGCATTGGTACGGAACCCATAGGAAGGTTAACAAAATGTATACTTATTGTTAAAATCTCTATAAAATATCTGATAATTTGATGTGCATATGTCCAATGATCATTTTTGACCGCCAAATGGCTCATTTTTTTACTTTTTCCTTCATATTTCCGAACCGCTAGACTTACCTTCATGAAATTTTATCGATTCTTCATCTTGTCAATACAAGTGAAATGATTTTGAATTATTCAAATCGGACGCTCCGTTCTCTTAAAAACTGAGTTACCGTTTTCGGCACTTTTTGCCCCGTATCTTCGGAACGGCTAGACCTGGCTTTGCCAAAAACTAGTCAGCACGTCTCCTTATCAATACGAATCGAATGTTTTTTGAATTATTCAAATCGGTTGATCCGTGTTCCCGAAATCGTCGACGAAAATTTGTATCCGCACATACATACACACACGTACATACATACATACATACATACATACACACACACACACACAATACATCCATTTTTTCTAAGGTATGCCAAAATGTTCAGAAACCTTTGAAACGTAAAGATATATAAAAATTTTCATTTTCGATTTTTTTTGCGATTACTATAACTTGCCCTACGGGAGGTTATAAAAATTCAAACATTTTCAAAACTTTTTTTTCTCGTAACTAAAAATATATGTGATGTTTGGTGGGAGATGGAGGTAATCTTGAATATCACCATGTATCACTGGGGGTCCAAAAATACTTAAAAAATCAATCACGAGATTAATGGACGCCCCCTTATATAAAAGCAAACTATGAAAATATAACATCAATTGAAAACCAACTTGATTTTGATTTATAATTTTTCATAAAAATTAATATCTTGTATCAAATAATATTCTAATTATTGTAATATTATCAACCTTAAATAGCTTAATTGCTTCTGCCTGCAGTCCCTCTGAATGCAAGGTTGTCAAAGGCGAATGAATATTGTCTTTCGTATGTAAGAGGTGAGGATGCCGCCAAATTTCACATGCTGAAATGAGTTTCAAAAAATTAATGTTCTATATATTTAAATCTTGATAAATTTTTATGCAAATATGTTTAACTAGTTGGTATTGGTATTTTGCCTTAAAGCAAGTTATATGACCTTCCCGATAAATAAATTAATTTATGAGTGGTTAAAAGTATTCGAAGTGGATTTATTACACATTATTAAAAATCCTTGAAAACTTCTCCTTCGGAAAGTTAAAATGTTAAGAAGTTTTCACTTTTGGTATTTATATTATACTATTCATCTCACTAATAATTTGTAGTTTTTTTTTTTTTTAATAAAAAATTCTCCTTCGGGAAGTTAAAAATAAGGTTTATATGTATTCTTATATTTTTACTTTTTATATTTATATATACTTTCATATCAGTAATAAATTTGTAGTTTTTTTAAATAAAAAACAATTCAATCAACTTGATTTTGATTGACTTACTCAAACACATAAAGGTTGTCCTAGTACAAAAACGTTGTAATATATCTGAAATATATAAATACATGAAAAAATATTTTACCAGGATTTCCCATCAGTTTCCATAAGTTTCTGAACTAGTTGCTCATACAAAGTTCCAGAATTAGACCCAGCGCCACTAACAATGGTGAGATGATATAACCAATTATCCCGTTCTTGTTTATTCGGTAGAATTAAATACGTCGGACCCTGAGGAATAATATATTAATTTATAAAAAAAATTAAGTGTTGCAAACTTATCAATTGTATTTTTCATAATTATTTATATCTAACCTGATGCTCAGGGTATATAGACACTGTCAGCCTGGCTTGTGAAGTGCCACCATGTTCTTCTCTTTCTTCAGAATCGGAGTCAGAAATATGCTCAACTTCTTCAACTCGCGCGTCGCGCATGTTTATTTGCCCCATAGGATTCTAAAATTCAAAATAAAGTAAGCAAAACAATACAGTATATCCAGAGAAAATTCGCTCAATACAAAATTTAGCCTTTCCTTATTAGATAAAGTTGATACGTTATTTCACTGCACGCTCACACAAAGTATGCAAGTGAGAATAAAAGGATTTTTATATTTTAGGTAAACCCCAAGTATTTGAATATTTTTAAAGATGCTTTCGTTATTCAAACGTATTGATAGATTTTTTAATAGTAAAAAAATATTAAGGGAGTATTCTTGTGTAGAATTTCAAAAAAATCGATTTTTTAACTATCTAAGAATATGGGTACGAGAAGATTTTTAAAATTTGAATTATTTTCGGAGATGTAGGCATTTTACTGACCCGGTCTCCAAACTGGTTCAGCAGGGTCTAATCGGACAAAAGGCATTAGGAGGTCATTAGAACAATTTAGAACATTTATTACTGTTTGCATATTCAATGAAGGTTTCTTTCCGATTTTAAAAATGATGACCTTTATGGTAATGCAAATTGGGCCAGAAACTCATTCATTTGCTGTAAGACGAGACAACGCCCGGATTGAACGATCTGAAATACGTACATCCAACGCTTCAAAGGAGGCTAGAACTGCTTCGTTGGAAGAGAGAAACGAAGAAAATAGTTTTTTGAAGTAGAAGAAAGTCCGATGCATGAAGCAGGAGTGGCAGATTAAATAAAAGAAGTATAACATATCATTTTTGACTTTGACAGCAAAAAACTTCACGCAAAACTTTAAATTCGTTTTTCTCAGAACAGACTTTTCAGAACTGTTGCCACGATTTCTCGAGTTCTACTCGACTGATTCACTTGAAATGTTCAGAGAGTCTTGTTTATAAACCTATCTGTAGCCCGAACTAGCATCGTCCCCAAATTCCAATTTTTATTATTTTTTAAAAATTCGAGAAACTCAAAAAACAGTAAAAAAACACAGTTTTTTTCAAACAGTCGCCAATTTGTAAAAAAAATTTGTTTACTCATCATTGTAGATTAATAATCTTATTTTTTTTTCATTTCCGGGGTGAAATCATGGCAAGACTGAGGTGCCAATTTTTTGAGACCCCCCACTTCATCAACCGCCCAATTTTCAACATATTTTTTAAATTTTTGTTTTGTATTTTAATAAAATTAATATACAAGTGGTAAAAAAATGGATAGTAAAAACATTCATTGCTTTCTTTTACAAAACTTTAAAAATGACCTAAAATTCATTGCTCTACACTAGAATACCCCCTTAAGGAAATATATAATAAATAATTTGTATATTTTATTCACATAATATAATAGTGTCAAAAATTATAACAAAAATACAGAAGTAAATTTGTATTAAATGAATTGAATTGAATTTCATAATTTCATACCTGTACAAAGCTCAGTTGCTAATTTATCAATAAAAGCTATTGTATTTTTTGAATAAGAATACGTTTCCATACTAAATTTTAATAACAAATTTTTCATGAATTTAAAATTATCATCTTCTCATAGACTATAGTTATAAGAATATTTAAAATATAAAACATATGAACTTACAGTATCATTAGGCGTCTTAAAATATAAAAACATTTTGCCCATTAATGAACACCAGCATTTCTTGGCATGACCATTTTTAACTTTCGTCAACCATCCTTGAACTGTTGGTTTCTGATCCTCCTTGCTAAGCAGAAGTCTGGCCGCATTTCTTCTTTGTACATTCTATAAGAAATTGGAAGTATCATATTAAAATATTAAATTAATAAATTAATATAAGATAAAAAGCGTGTTATGAATAATATAATATTACATGTCTGATGATAGTCAAGACAACAAATTATGCTATTCATTTGAATCATATTGGCTACCTGATTAACAAAATAGAATTTTTGAAATAGAGTTTTTCATAGTTCAAAAATAAAAATTACAATATTTAAGTGGTTTGTTTTATGATATAAATATTCATATAATTTTGATTTTTATAAACCTTTGTAAGAAATTCAAACTCTTAATTTCAGAAAACTTAAACATTTTTCACGAATATGAAATGAATAGAAATTTAATTTTTAACGAAGTAAATAGATTTATGTCAATAATGTGAAATAAAAGTAAATTTTATGTGTATTTCACCAGTGAAAACTAGCAAACAATGTTGAATAATAAATATATATATATATTGGAAAAAAATTCATTGAGAATTCAAAACTATTTAGTAACATAAAAAGTTCAACCAATTTAGTTCAATAAAATTTAAATCCAAAATTATTCTAAACAAAACAAAGAGATCTGAACATCCATTCATCACTCATCAAACTTTGCCAAAATGATTAAGTGACCATTCGAATTTTTTAAGATTTCAATTGTTTAACTTCACAAGATTATAATATTCGTGAAAAAAAATATAATCATTTTTCAATGTAAACTTTACTTGTTACCTGTAATATTCTAACCCACTCTTCCATCGTAGAAATAGAATCTGCAGTTAAATAATATATTTTTTTCCCTGTATTAATTTCAAATGTACTTGCTCCATCTTGTCTTGTTATTCTACAACTGTCATCCAAAATTATTTGTCCTTGAGGTTTTCTGTTTACATCGTGCTGCGATTTCCAATATATCAAAGCACCATTCTTCAGCACAAACCATCGCTTACGCCATGTCTGAGAAAAAATAATAGATAAATAAAATATGATACTTAAATAAAATATATATGTTTTCATCGGATCATTTTTATTTAAAAAATAAAAGATATTAAACCAGAACTTCTTGCAAATACAAAATAATAAGGTGAAAAGTAGGGCTTACAATACTGGAATTCAGTGATCCCGAATACCGGATCCTAGACGATTTTTGTCCGGTATTTAATACCGGTATTGAGACTAAAAATACCGGTATTTCGAGATTACAAGTATTTTGTTTAAAATTGAACTTACGCAATACATATACACAAGTTTTACACTGTTTATGTGTATTACCGACTCAACTTAGCCTAGTTATGACACATTGGCAAGATAAAGCGATTGTTTATATATTATATACGACCTAATGAATGCAACCCATTTATAAAAATTATTAGTCGTCCACGTGCATTGTCCTCACATCTAATTCGTTATCAATGATTTTTAAATAAAATATATAATCGACGCATTATTCTCTATATTGTATTTATTCCTATCAATCATTCGTATTTATTTATTATTTCATTATAACGAAAATTTACAAGTCAAATCATCGAGTGATATATAGTTTGATAATAATCAATGATAATATTGGTCTTGGTGGAGGATGACCTCTTTCTTATGCGTACGTTGCAGATTCTTAGAAATCGTTCATATAAAATTATTTTATTTATTTATTAGATAATCAAAAAATACAATAATTTTCTATAAGTCTTTGTGATGTCGTGATATTTAATGATGATTTTATTATAACATAAATACACTATACTAAAACTTGCAAGTAATAATTCATATCGATTAATAATGTACTCGAATTATTTCTTTATGACAATGTGCCGACAAGTGTAGAATGAGAAAAAGGTTTTCGATTTGTTATATTTGTACTAAAATTTGGTCCTCGCTTGAAGATTAAAAAATTGATTGTTTATATTTTTTAAAAGCATATTTTATTAAACAATATTTAAGTTTTTAATTGAATTTGTTCTGTTCCTTAAATATATAATTCCATACAAGCCTATTAAAAGTAAAATGTAACACATACAAGTTAATATATAATTGTTTACTTGCAATAAAATAATATGTACTCATTTTAGAACAATAATACCCAGTAAACAAAATTACACATCTAAAAAATATGGATACAACATCGCGCCCGCGATGTGAAATATCGCCACGCCGCAGTCGTTTTTTCGCATAGAACGTTAACCGAGCGCCAAGTGATGTTACATTTGCGATTTTTGTCGCGACTTTTTAACACGTTTATCGCATGTTGAACTGATGTTGACAAAACATGAAAAACAACGTAATTGTGTACATTAATTCAATATTCTTTTCTGTACACCACACAGGCATGAATTTTTATTTTTAATTTATAATAATAGACTATTTATTCAAGAATCATTTATTTTATTTATCAGATATCACATATAAAAAATGTTACAATTAGCATCAATATTTGCAATTAAAGTTAAAAAACTTATAAGTTATAAATAGAAATTTATTACACAAATCCAAGACTCTTCAATTTTTATATATATATATATATATATATATATATTATACCTATATATGTGTGTATTTTAATCAATCCTAATGTAAGGAACACATTCATTTAAGAAATTATTTATACATGAAACAGATTAGTTTTTCAACTTTACATTAAAATTGATTAATTTCTTCATAGCGATTGGTTATATATAGTGCATGTCATGTCTCAACCATCATTTCCTCGCCTCTTCATTATACACAAAACGCTTGCAAACATGAGGGTATTATCGTCTTTATTCTGAAGATTTCTAAAACAGTTTATATATAGAAGTCAAGTCATATCCTCTGTCATTTTTCCACTGACTGTATTCATCGATCGATTTGATTTGAACGATTGTCAAATGCATTATTTTTAATCCTAGCTAACAGATCTGAAACATCATCTTGCATCTGATCTTCTGAAATTCATTAGATTTCTGCTTTCAGCATAATATTCGGTTTGACAATACACAGCGGCAATGTTTTTTTTAAACCTCTTCATTGAGAATTCCATTCATGTCATTCCTAATGCTACAGAAATATAAAATCCAGTAAACATTAATAATATTAAATATTATTATAATAACTATATGATGTACTTACGAGTTCATTTTTTTAACTGTTAAGGGTTTCAAACTAAAACTTATTAAACAACTTTATAAAACACGCTTTGATGTTTCTTTAATGTCAGCATGAGGCATCATCTTGAATTTTTATTGTTAGAGAGTCCTACCTATAGATGTCCTTGTCATCCTATTAGTGTTTACACTCACTAGGCAGCAAAATCATTAACTCACAGCATTTACATGAATCACAATGTTATTATTTTCATATTTGTTTCAACAATTTAAATTAAAGTTATACATTTTGTTCACTATTGAATTAAAATTATGATTAATATACATTTGTAGAAAAAAAAACTTTGGTTAATTTCTATTTAAACATCCCGCCATCATGTCTTCAAAATCAAACTTCATAACACACTTCTGGCAATACGAAACAAAAGTTTAAATATAAAAGTTTTGTACATAATTGAATTTATTAATTCACTTTTATCTGCAAACTTTTATTTCCCTAGTATTTTGCACGCATTTAATATAATACAATTTTTAATATAATTTTTAAATATACTAAAAATTATATTGAAAATTTATAAAAATTATATATAATTTCCATACCAAAAACTAAAAATTTAAGATTCTACAGCTCCATTGTTTACTTCAGTATTTATCTATATTAACTATATAGTTAGGTGTTGAACTTATAACTTGTTGTTTTTATAAAACATGTGTAATGTGCATCCACTGAGATTTAGATAAAATGTTAGAACAATATTTGTTTTGTGCTCACAAATGTGATGTGCATTGAGATTTAGATAAAATGTTAAAACAATATTTGTTTTGTGCTCACAAACGCGATGTGCATTGAGATTTATATAAACATCTAAACAACATGATATTTTGTCACATCGAGGACATCGCGACGGGATTTTTTTCAAATGTTGTCAGCAACATCGCGTGTTTACTGGGTA